TGTATTTAGCATCTTTTTTTTGATCGTTATTAAAATGCAGTGGTTGCCTCTGATTTTAAATGGAAAAAGCACAGCCAAAGCCTTAGTTTGTTTATATGAAGAGATTTAATTTTTTTGTATTATTTAATAATTTGATTTGGGATTTGTTTAAAAAATTCAAGTTAGTTTTATTATTTTATTATATTTTGACAATTTCACAAAGAAATGTGCAGCATTTTGTTGGTGCATCATTATATTGGATCCGTGCATTCGGTCTTAAAGGGGCAGCAGCCTATAAATACCTGCTGTTCCATTAGTGCCACCTGTTGTCAGAGAGTGACATTTGCGTCTCATTCACAAAGCTAAAATCAGACCATTCTGTTTTTGCTTCAAATTTTGAAATTTGTCTAATTGCAATGTAAATAGCATGTATTTAGCATTTTTGTTTGGATCGTGATTAAAATTAAGTGGTTGCCTCTGATTTTAAATGGAAAAAGCACAGCCAAAGCATTAGTTTGTTTATATGAAGAGATTTATTGTATTTGTATTATTTAATTATTTGATTTAGGATTTGTTTTAAAATTTCAAATTAGTTTTATTATTTGACATATTTCAATTTCACAAATAAATGTGCTGCATTTTGTTGGAGAAATAATAAAAGGACACCTTTTCATTTATAATTTGTCTTAAATCTCATTTTGTTAAAAAGAAAAATTGAGAAAATTGTATTGTGAAATCAGTATCGTGAATCGTTTCGTATCGCATCGCATCGTGAGTTGAGTGAATCGTTACATCCCTATATGCTACTAGTTTTTGCTCTGGTATCAAAGAAGTATTCTGTTATTTAAATAATAAAGAACCATATTTTCGTTGCACCCCTACTCTCTTGACTTGTTATTTGAAGAAAAAAAAGCAATCACTGTTTTTAATCATGCTGATTTGTCCACAGTGAAGTTCAGCCGGTGTCTTTTCTTTTTTTATTCGGGCTACTTTAATTTTGGGCTACCAAAATCTGAAGAACGTCTGCCCGAAAGGCTACCAGCGATTTTGACATTTTGCGAGCCCTGTATATCATATCTTGTAAATATAACAAAGCAAAAATACATACAGGAATATTTTTTTTCTTTCATAACTTGAATTATAGTGGCATTCTAACTGCATTTTAATAGGCTTCATCACGCAGCGAATGCTTCTGGACTCTCAAGACACGTTTTTGTTTTTTTGCAAAATGAGTGACATACTTGATAATGTCAGCTTGCATATCATTAAAACAACAATTACAATATCACAGACAATAAATATCGCACAAGAATGTTGTTTTTAATCTTTATACAAATAAACTGCATATTAAAAGATAGCAAATTTTCAAATACGAACTTCACTGTTTTCTGATATGTGAGCACCAGGTCGCCAATAGTATTATAGTAGTATTTAATAATAGTATTTGGTATTTCTGTGTGTTCGTGATGGTGATTTCAGTGCAGGTTACATTGTTACACCATTAGATGATGACATTTGTGCCTACAGTTGAATCACAGCAGATTACATTAATCCAAAATGTAGAATTTGTTCAAATTGAACACTGCTTGCTTTTAGGCTTGCCGCGATAGACGGTGTTGACGGTGATACCGGTGTTAAGCCGCAACACCAGTTACGTCACTTGCCCACCGCGGCACCGACCCCCACCGTCGTTTTGATTTTTTATAGAAATAAAAATCATTTAAGGTGGGTGTACACGGTGCGATTCTGAAGGTCGGAACGTCGTGAGCTGTGGCACATGTCAAGATTGAGTTTATCGAAAATCGTACTGGAGGCAGTCACACACGAATTTACTACGATTTTACAAACTCTGATGTAAGCATTAGGCTACCTTTCGCGCCATTCATAAAAATATGGATTTTGAGGACGAAATAGTTTTCTTTGTGGCAGGCGGCTTGTGACGTACAAAACAAAACAAAAAAAAAACGAAGACAAGGGACATGGCAAAGAGAATGGCTGAAAAGCAGAGAAAAGCATGGACTTTCTGTTCTTCATAAAGAACTCGAGGGAGTAGCCTAGGCCATTTCTGAATTTCTGCTCGTTTTGCCGGAAATACAACAGGCATATTCATTCATAAAGCTGAATGGCAAATTTGGCACATTCGGAATAACAAATAAAAAATAGAACTGTATAATTAAACTAAAATTATTATAGACTATATTGTTTTTGTCATCTTCTGATTGGTCAACTTCAGATGGATCCCCAAATCGTCTCGTTCAACCGCACATACGCCACGAATTTAAACCGACAGCATCCGATTTTTTTTTACATGTTTGAAAATTATCGGGAGGACGGGAGGTGCTCGTAACGTCTCGGATTGGCCCGTAATTCTTCTCACACGGTACGAGCCGCGACCATGCGAGCATCTGCGATTTTCTCCCGAGGGAAAAAATCGCCTGCGAGCTCGTACGATAGCAAAAATCGCACCGTGTACGCCCGCCCGCCTTTAGTTCAGTAAAAGAACAGACACTACAGTTAAAAACTGAACGCGTTTAAATTATATTAAGCCTTAAAGTTCTGCATAATTAAGGGCGTGGCCACTTGAGTGACAGGTGGATTGCCGCTGCTGTCACCACCGTCGCGCTAGGTGGGCGTGGTTTCAGCAGCCAGCTCCCGCCTCTTTGCCCATTTTCGATTATCCGGGAGTGACGCGCGGTGACGCGCTGCCAAGATGGCGACGGCTGGCTCCGCCTACTGTAGGCTTCAAAACGCTTGTCGGAAGTCTACGGGTTACGTCACGGACACTACGTCCATGTTTTTATACAGTCTATGGTTGTCACACATCGATTAACCGGTGGGAAAATGTCCTCACCGTCACAACCCTACTTGCTTTCTACAAGTTGTCACGTTATGCCTTTAAAATACATTACAAAAAAAAAAAAAATTAAACTAGATGCATTTAATCGCAAACACAAACTGATGACATACTCTATGCTAAATCCAATGGTTAAACTCTCAGCACATAGAATGAAGTTCTTAATAAAGATGGTATCATAGCACGAAAAGACACATTGCTACAATTAATTGTCTGGCATTGAAAATAAAGAGGTCCTACACTGTTTGCTCTAGGAAGCATTTAACTTTTTAATAAATGTTTTACTTTGTAATCCTAACACAGTTTACTACTTTTGCAAGTGTACTCTTATTCAAGTTGATTATTGTAGGATCAGCGTTTATTATTGAGCCTCCCCTTATTCTTGTTAGTTGAGAACAAATAAGTAAACAAATCTTGCAGGATAAGTAACAAGACAGTGCTGACTAGGCAAAGCATGCAGGTCTAAATGCTATCATGACTGTTCTCCTAGAATCAAAACCAATCACCACAAGAAATACCTCGACAGATTGCCAGTGTGTAGATACTGAAGGAAGCGATAGTGTGAACACTCAATGTAAGGGTGTTCGCTGAAGAACGTGTGGCAGCAGTTTTTGGAATGCTTCCCCCCCTTTTCTGGGCTTTACTTGAGAAAATCAAGTCATGTTCAAATTCAACCGCTGCAAAACATTGAGATGTGTAGGGATTTTCCTTCTCTGTAATGGTTCACAATGGATCTTCAATATAATTTTTTATAAACATGCTACTTTAATCAGAAAGGTCACAGATGATTTCAAACAAATGATCAAGTACACATCTAAGATGCATAAAAACAAGCAGACATTCATCAATCTTATCTATATAAAGTTTTGACACATCATTTAAAGTATCCTGTGTTCTGGGGGCCTATTCCCTGAACAGCTTTCTTAAAGACAGATTATCTGCAGATCTGACTAAAAATAAGTTCCACTTCCTAAAAACACTAGCATTTTCTGACAGTTAAGAGCTCATTAAAAAGATGGGCACAAACAATTTTAAAAAGCCACGGCCTATATATTAAAGTCAGATGGGACACAACTAAGGCTGTCAAAGATTAAAATAATCAGTTTTTAAAATAATACGTTTTAAGGAATTCAGTTCATCTTTCTGGCTTACTGAACATTCAAAATTGTATCACACGTTGCAGTGACAGTGTTCAGAAGGTTTACTTATAAACCATTTGCCAAAAAAACATTTCATACTAAAACGGTTTTAGTAATGAAACCTGCAACAGCATTCTTGAACATTTTTTTAGCCTATTCCAACCGATCTTTATAAGTCAATCAGAACAGAATGAAACTATTTTAGTATCAACTTGGCAAAATGTAGTTATTCTTTGCTAATTACAGTTTAATGGTGTTTAAATTTGATCACTTGAGACTTGTTTAATACATTGACAGCCCTAGCGTAGTGAGAACACATTTTGATATAACAGCTTGAAAACGGTTTTGTTTGGTGAAACGTGTCTTTGACTTTAGCTGATGTTAAAACATCACTTTCAACAAAATGAAGCACTGCTGTAATGCTACATATTGAGATTATGAACATGACTACGGGAAAAAAATATATAGTCTAACAAGCTTTATTGATGGTTATAATTACAATTTCCACAATATAGGTCTCATTTAGTGTTTCTATTGAGAGTCTAGTAAGTTTTGAGGAACTGGGTCATTTAAATGATATAATCAAACAAAGAAATCAATGTCAGTCTGAATGTTGTATTTGACAGACAAATCATTAACTGCCTTTGGTATATTAACAAATGTGTCTACAATCTGACATTTATTTGAAGAATGCTTGATTTTATGCTTTTCAGAAAACATGAATGAATATAGATGTTTTTGAGAAAACACTTAAGATGAATAATCTGTAACTCAGCTTTACAAGTTCATGACATGTTAATTTAAATGATTGTACTTGTAAAAAGCAGTGCTTCAATTTTGCCACAAACTACATTTTAACTTTCATTTTATGTTTGGCCTTTATGAGAAAACTTTCCAACGTGTGCCAAACCATTTTCACACCAACTTGCCATGTATATCTAACCCTGATCCAACTAAATTTGGGAAAAGAGAATCACCATAACACTCAGTCTGGTCTAGAGATACTTCAAACACTGCGAACATGTTTGTACTTGATGTTTGAGAAAATTATTTCAATATAAACTATATACAAAGAGACCTTTTCACAACAGAGAGATATTTTCCTGTTTATTACTAATGTTTACCAGATTGTTAATGCAAGTTGGTGATCTTTCTGTGGCATGTGCTAGTTTATGCTGACTGATGTGGCTATGAACAGTATTACAGTTTGGGTGTGGCATTACCGGATTAAAAGAAAATTGTAAGACTTATTTAGCTGGTGCTAGTTGATGATAAAAGAAACTCAATTAACTTTCAGTTTTCAGCTAATTTGAAAACAGAATGGTCATTCCATGTCAAATCAACTAAATTTCACCAAGATCCCCGGCTCAAACTTTTTATTTTGGTAATATTTTTAAGAATAAAGACAAACATAAATAGTAATGAAAAGCAAAATATTAAATGTTGTGGATGTACATTTACTCAGCAATCCACAATTTTGTAGAGGGGGTCAAAATGACAAATTTGAAGCCAAATTACAGGGGGTAAAAATGACAACATTGATGGTACTGGTAAACTGGTGTTGATTGCTGTTGATTTGCATGCCTATAATTTAGTATAAGTATTTTACTTTTAGATTTTGGTTCTAAAACTTTTCTTTTGGTATGTTACTTTTTAAGGGCCTAAAATTCTAAAATGAAGGCCTAAAAGTCTTCATGCATGTAATTCAAGAAGTGTTAAAAACATCTCAGTAGGTTCTGATTTTTACATTTATTTTGGAATCTTCATTTTCAAGGCCCTATATGGCTCAATCCCATAGATATGGGGAATGTGGCTCCATGTCCAAATTGTTGAATTTTACCCATTTTCAATCGTCGAAATCCAAATGTGGGTAATTTTGCATTCAGCTGTTACTTATTGTATTTAAAGGGGAATGTCTGAAGAATAAATACATGCATATAAAATGTAGCTTGTTTAAAATCTAGTTGTTGTAGCTTGAATAAAATATATTTTTACCAACCACTAAATTGGCTCTAAATCTCAGGTGAAAATTGTCATTCTGCCCCCTCTCTACCAAACAGTGGATTCACTCAAATACACAACCATGACATTTAATATTTTGGCTTTCTTCTTCATTTACGTATTGCTTTCACCAGTAAAAAATGATCAATATTTTTTTTTCTTAGACAGGACCTCTTGTTGAGTTGACACGGAATGACCCAAAAGGCATTTTATTCAAGACAATCTAATAAACAATATATGTCATTAAACACAAAAACACAAGGCAACATGCTTTTAAGGTTACATACAAACTCACTTAAAACAAATGCACAATTACTCAACCATCCACCCATCTTGGTACTCACATGAATACCAGCATTCTCCAAAAAATAATTGATTTATTTTTTAAATAGCAAAGACCTGTATTTACTTCAAAAAATGTCTCATACATTTACTTGATTTAAAGCAAAATATAATTGAATTTCTAAGAGCTCTTTAGTAATCCAGCACAGCAAATTGGAGGATCTGCATCTTGCATCTCAACATACTGGATAGTCAAGACAAGAGTGATTTCATTCAACAGAAGGAAAAAAAATTTAATTAATGGATGCAGGGCTTAAAAATAAGGACTGCTTGATCGCCCTGGGCCAGCACGAAAGACACTCAGGACAGCTGACTGATAACTGCAGGGTCGTCACGAAATGTTATCATTTGCACTTGTTTTTAAGCCTTGCCAATTTTTAACATTCAAGCAATTTTAAACCATTTTAGCACAAGAAGACACTGAATGATGTACTCATGTACAGTTTTCTGCACACACCCGGGGCACAGAGACAGAGAGATGCGACCATGTAAACACCAATTTGTGTTTTGCATCTTCTTGCACTTAAACACACAAATACATACAAAATTATGTCAAAACCCCCATCTTGGGAAAGATATCATTATATTGAATCTGTGCCTAACCTGCTGCTGTCTGTGTCAATAATGTTAATCAAACAAAAGACAAAAAGAAAATCACTCACTGCTCTTGACTAAATGGCTTTTGTAGCTTTAACAAGGATTAATCTATATTTAATTTATAAAGTGAAAACTATGCAATGATTTTACATTTGATTATTCAATTTCTCTAGCTGAATACTACTGTTGGACCTACCTGAAAAACTTTATTATAAAGCACTGTTTATTCAGTTTATACTTTTGTTCTTTTGTATTTATTTGTGCTAATTTGTTTATTCATTCCTGTTTTATTATTCAGTGTTCACTTGTCTTTAATAATGTTTTAACTTTCTATCACCTAGGCTGGTAGTTTTTGCTGTGGTATTGAAATGGGAATCTAGAATTGTGAAATTAAACTGGTATCTAAAATGTTAGTGTCACAATAAGATGATTTATTAGCATACAAGTGTACACAGGTCAAAAACAATGAAAACAATAACTTTTTCTCTTTTTTTTTTTGTGGCAGGGCAAACAAAAATTGTAACCACAGAGTGACCAGGCCAGTAGAAATAAAGTCTTTAACGCTGAGCCCTGGGATGTTTTATTTCTAATATAGAATATTTTCAAATTGCAATTCATGTTCTATGCCAAATTTTTTTTAGAGACCTCAGATCTGCTGGGGGAAAAAAATGAGGAAATGTGCATTTGTTTTGCTTGAATTTCATCTTAAACTCATATGGAATCACTAAACACAAAATTCACCTTTAAGCTAAATGATGACAACAGGTTTCGATAAACACGTTCATTAGATGAAAAAAAAAAAACTCCACTAAAAGAGCTCTGCTAGCCTACACAGAGAAGGACATTTAAAGTGATAGTTCACCCAAAAATAAAAATTTCACACTCTTTACATTTGAATAACGTTTATATGTGAATAAAAGCATACATTTACGTCTTCGTTTACTAAATCTGTATCTGTTTATATGTGAATGAAAGCCTAAATTAAACCTCTCCATTCAAATGGATTACGTCTTTTTGATTCGTCAAAGAATACACAACCAAAACTTTTAAATGGATGGACAAAAATGCTAAAAGAATATTAATATCTTAATATCCATATCTTCATTTGTACTTCAAAGATGAACAGAAGTCTAGAACTTTGGAACGACTTAAGGATGGAGTATCACTTTAACAGAGTAAATTAAATTTAAGTAATTGTACACTACAATTTGCAATTGTTATTAGAAGAACTGAAATGTGTTTTGAAACTTTTTTTTTTTTTTACATTATTCTGCAAGTACTAAAATTATTATTAGTCTAGTGCCTGTGCTACAGGGGTGACAGAATTACCAACTGTATGTAAAATAATTCTTGCATTAATATTTTCATTTACATTCTTCAGACCGTGGCATAAAGTCAAATGACCTTTCAGGACTAATGTTCCTGTGGCTCAGTGGTAGAGTATTGCGTAAACACATGAAAACTGTTGTTGATTTTTTTCTAAAGGTTCAGTAAACTGTTCCATTTAAGAAATTACATTTTTCTGATTATTAATTCATGTCAGGTTTTAGAAGGTCAACTCTAAATTGTCATAAGACATCACAAGTCATATAACATTATCAAGTTCTGTATGTGGACCCACCTGTCTGTTTATTTCAGCCCCTGTGTGTAAGAGCCACAGCAGGCATTCTGGATGTCCTCCAAATGCAGCAATGTGAGCCGGGGTCTGGGCAAACCGTGTGGTCAATGAATTCACTTCACATCCCACCTGCACCAGCCTCATAACACACTCCAGCTGTTTTATGACAAAGAGAAAAATAAAATCAACAAACTAGTGACATGATTTTCCACCAGTGCTTGGTTTCTCCCCCTATGAAAGTGTGAAATCATGTTCATCAAAACACACAACCATCAATTATTCCAGAACAACTTAGGTGATAAGGAGTAAGTACTTCAGCTCAAACTGTGGTTTACAGCAGCAGACTTCACACACAATGGTGAAATCGAATAGTTTGAGACAGACTACCAATCTCTCTGACTTGCTATTTGAGACTTATGTTCCCCGCTCTACTGTCAGGGACCAGCAGCTGTGCTGCATTTTCAATATGAAACACCATGGGGCAATTCATTACCCTGTTCTCTGACTCCGTTCTCTCTGACATTAAACAGACTCTGGAAAATGCACCAATTCTCTGAAACACTTTCAAATTCTACCACCTTTGTTTGTAGGGCTGGACAAATAAATGAATTTTTCGATTAATCGTTTTTTTTTTAATTACGTCGATTCGATATCGATTCTCAAAAGCCGCGAATCGATCTTTTCCGGTATTTATTTCAGCACACATTTAAAGGTGCTGTATTTAAGTTTTTGACTCTACTAAAGCATAAAAATACCATAATATGTTTGCAGATATTTAAGAAATATCTAAGTTAATTACCATACTACCAGCTAAGTTAACATACTACAGTCTACTATATGCTACAGTCAGTTATTCTCCTTTGAAAATGTGCGTTCCGGGCCGGAATGTCGGTCTCTGTTTTGGTTTGTGAAACCCGCCCACTGCCAGTTTACCCAATTGTATTTCGGCACCCCGGGTTGCCAGTTGGCGGAAAACACAGCATATTTCATTTAATTCATCATCAAGTGTGCTCGTTCCTGTTGGTGACGTCAATCTGGCAACCTGCATGTGCATCAAGTCTGAGGAGGAGGGGCCGGGTGAAAAAAACCCTCTCCAATATTTTGAATTTGGACTGCAATACCTAGTTCAACCACTCGGTGTCAATCCCACATACAGCACCTTTAAAACAAGATCTGATTAACGTGAATCTTACCATTAGTCTTCTCCACTAGATGTCATCCTTATTTACCTTGCGCGAACAGAAAGCCTGTCATTCATTCAGCGCTTATCATGGCCATACACGTGATTCGCAATGCTGAGGTGAAATGCTATAGTAATACTATAAACCTGCAGAAGCATTTGATATCACGCATAAGGCGCCATGATTTCCGCAATGAATGAATGGCGGGGCGCACTGTTTTGTTTACTACACGCATACTAAAGAGCGGATGACGCTCGCGGAGTTTTCAGCTTCTGCCGTCTCACTATATGATGATATGAACACGAATGTCATCTCCAGCTGCTCTGAGAGTCACTTCATTAGCATTTTACTGTTTCATTTGAGAAAACTACCGTCATATCACATACATAGCAGCTGCAAGTTCTTCACGGCAAAATAAAAATAAAAGGTAAAAAAAAAAGGTCAAAATAAAAGTTTAGTTTAACCTTAAGAAACTGTCAGAATATATTACTATTTAGCAGTCTTAAGACTCAATGCTACTACTGCTAATAAATATTAATAAATCTTT